GATTATACAGACAAATGAGCCCATGTGCCTTTAATCTGGTTATGGTTTATGCACTAAAATAGAGACTCATTCTCACCTTATAAAAATGCACTGTCCTCAGTTGCAAAAAGAAAACACAGTGTCTTTCTCTTACACGACGATTAGTCTGAGCATGCTGTTTTGTTTTAAACTCAAGACATACCCACCCCTCAAGCCGTACATGGCTTTTTGAGCAAAGAGCAAAAGCACTCAGCTATTAAAAACAGCCAGTTCAAAGAGTTACAACTGTACCTCTTAACGTAAATGCTTTCAGGCCCCTATGCTTGCTGTTTCCTTTATTTGAAATGACTGGTTGGTCCTTTATTATTGTTATGGCAAAACTTCGGGCTGTATTCCACAGGAAACCAAAGAGAACAGACAAAGTTCTAATTTAGACCGGTCACCTCTCATCCCGACTTGCAAGTCAGAGAAGTGGGCGTGGACCTGCCTTTGTTACCACCTTATATACATTTTTGGTTTCCATGGTAACAGATTGGAATGATGTAGCCCAGGCCACATGTTGTTTTCCTTGTGCCACGTGACTGGGTCAGGCTCCGGTCATGAGCCCAACCACAGTGATATATACTTTCTGCACTCCGTTCTTTATGTCCCCCTTTAGATAACCATGCATTTCCTTTATGGTTGCAATGTTTATCTAGGGCCAGGGAAGGGATGAAACAACCCAGGCAGGGTCATAGGTGGTTATCAGGGCCCGGGTGTTCTTTGTCTTAGGAGAAGCACTCCAGGGCTAAGTCAGGACTGCAAAGTTAACTCTCTACAACCCTCCGGGATGTTTCTCAAGACACATTTTGAGGCTTTCATTAAGACTAGAATTATTCTGTCTTAAAATGATATGCTGAGTCATCATCCCCTACGGGGCTCTTGTTATTTCACTCCTAACCAAAAGACGGCTTTCCCTGAAGCCTTATTTGCTCATCAGATTCATTCTTGCATTTCTATTTCATATTTATTTTCCCTGTATATTATACCTTTTCATTATATGAAAGTAGGTTTTTGTTTTTCTTACTTGACTTTTCCAAACATATAGAAATCTACCAGCATGTATGAGATATTTTAGGTGAATACTGATGAGTTCATCACTTCAATTGTGTTTTGCCTTCCTCAAGGTGAAAGTATCAATAAAGATAAATAATGTCCTTATCAAATGATGCTGTGAGGCTTCCCCAAGATATTACACTTAATCAAAGCATGTTGGTGATTAGTGGTGTTTGCACAGAAGAGATGCTCAAGTGTGTGCTCTCAGAACACACACTAAGCAGGTGCTTTCCACGGGTTCATCATCAAGCTCTGTCATGTTTTCAGTGTGGGGTTGCGGGACAGAGCCACATCACACTCGCTGGGTCTGCTGGGCCTCATGTTTGATTTACTGAAATTGAGGATGCAAGTAGTAACTCAGCATTTGTAAACAAAGGTCTCTGGGCTATTTTCATGGATAATAGACTTTGAAAACTTCTCTTTTAAATACTTAATTTAGTGAATAACCGAGGAATGGAATTTTTTTCTAGTGAATCAGAATTGTTCAGTGAAAAGAAATCCATAAGTCATGCATTTTGAGGTCCATACCTGTGGATGCAACTTCCTCTTTTCCCCACTCACGTGGAAGGAAGAACGTCTCTTAAGAAATATGTGAAAAAAATCCTTGTTTTGAAGCTACCCTTTCTACAACCTTTTCGCTGCTTGCTCTTGCCTCAGGCAGCAAACTCTGTTCAGACACAGAATATCTACCCTCTGAGAGCTTTTTCTATTAAAATACAGCAGAGATAAAGTGATACCAAAAATAGCTTGCCTTTTACATTTGTTATTTTTATTATTCTTTTAATTAAATAGTGCATGGTTGTAATACAGGCTATTGCTGTTTCCTTCTGGAAATTGGTACATTTATATAACACATTTTCGTCATTTCCAGTCTCTAACTTGGCTCCCCCTTCCTTCCCCACCCGTGATCTCCTTTTCTATCCCTAAGATTCTAGCTCCTAGTAATAAAAAAAGGAATTAGATCCTTAATATAAAATGTTACGCCTTTCATTTCTAAGAATAAAATAAATGTTTGGTCTCAAAGAAAAAAAAACTGTGGTTACACATTGTTAGATAAATAATTTCGTATATTTGGGGAGCTGATTTCTGATGTTCTCATGAAATCGAATCAAGACTGACCTCAGGCAAATGAAATTTGAAAGTTTTCTGAGAATGTGGAGGGGATTTGATTCTGTCTAGGAAAAGAAAAGTATAAAGAAGTGTTAGAGGGCATGTAATATAAATGGTGATGAGTTTAAAAAGGAGTATCTGCTGGTCCTGAAGAGATCTGCTGCTTCTTCATGGAATATTTTTCCCATAACTAACAGTCTTTTGTCACCTTACAAACTCAAAGCAATCAATAAATTTGTGCAAAGTTTTAGGAATAGGGTTTTTTTTTTGTTTGTTTGCTTGCAAGTTTGTTCTTTTTATTTGACAGTATTGCAGTGCCATCCATTTCTAAGCCTCTTTTATAATCACCCATTTTCGGTGAAAAATTTACCTGAAATATTGAAATATGTCAGCTTTATTAACTGAGCTCTAACTCAGAAGCAGCCATCTCACAACACTGTTTCTCTGCTGCATGTACAGAACTTTGGCTTGAGATCTTTGGGTTTTATTAGGGCTCAATTTCCTGTTGTTTTTTAGAGAAATAAATAAAACAAGTGATAGCATTCCTGGTAATAATAGCAAATTTATACACACAATTTATACTATAAATTTAAATTGTAACTAAAAATTAAAATTTGTGGTTAGCAATAGTTGTGTGTAAATACTATTGTTTGCAGGTTTGTATCAGATGTTCTTTTGTATACCTAACCTTACGTACTTTATGCAGACAAATCATGTATATTATGTATGCTCTCTCTATATTGATTGAACTGTAGACTTTTTAAAGCACAGTAATGCATATTGTTTAAATTAATTATTATAAAGCATAAGTTCTCTAAGTAGATCAAGAGAGTTGCTGCCAGTAAGTAGCTAGTGCACTAATATATAATTTTAATTCCAAATTCAGTATTTTGTTTAATTTTACTACTTTTCCTCTCTATGTCAGAGAATTGTTAGTTATTTATTTGGAGTTTTTGGCACTGGAAACGTGTATGAACTTTTATCTTTTAACCAATATTTATTTTCGTGAAGAGCATTTTCTTTTGGTGAATAAATACATAGATCAATTGAAAAAATGATATGAAGAACTAGTTCCCTTTTCTATATGGCTAAGGATCTATTTTAAATTTTTTGTCTATTGGGTACATAGGTGTGGTTTTAGAAATTTAAAAAATATTATTGCTAGTTCTCATTTCCTAAATTCTCTAATTTTCTCAAATTGGATCATCAAGGAAAATTAAGTCTAAACTATGTGTTAATGAATTTTCAATATCTTTGCAGGCTAATGAAATATAATGCTAATTTTCCTAGAATAATTATTACATTACCTAACATATTACTCAGAAAAAAATTCTCAAATTGCATTTTTAATTGTGCAATTTTTTTAAGTATTTAAGTTATGTAACATAATTTCCAAACTATCTTAAATTGTCAGTACAAATTGCATAATTGGAAATGATAATTTTACATAGAAATATGAAACTAAAACAACTGAATATTTAAAGCATCTATTTTCTTTATGTATTACTCAAAATGTTTAAAAATTTTTAGAATTGAGCAATTAATTTGGAGGAATATCAAGAAATAAGTTTTTGATTGAAAATATTTTAATATTACCGTATGAAATGACAAATATCCCATCATCCAGTATCAGTAATTGCATACATATTCAGGGATCATTAACATAACAAATCTGAGTAGATGATACAGCTTTTGTAAGAGTAAATAATAGTAAAATAAAAATGTATAGCCCTGAGGGCAAAATGCCGCAATCTATGTTAACCTATTTTCTACTTCATACAGATCCCATTTTTTTGCCTATATTTCTCCAAATTCTGTGCTGTAGAGGGTAGGTGGTCTTCCTTTTTTCAGAGCCCTTTCTCATTAAATTGACATGCAATGCATTTTATATTTTTATTTATGTTGTAGAATAATACTAATTATAGATTATAGGTTATATTGTTTTCCATGAGTGTGTGTTTAGGTGTGGTTGGAGAATACATTGGAATAATTAGATGTGACCTTTTTCAGTCTATGGAAACCCAAAAGGCCCTAAAATTCAGATTCCTAAAATCCGGATGAATCAGGGTATTTGTTACAGCCACCTTGGAATGAGATGCATTCTATCTGATGCATATGACATTCACACTGACTGTTGTGATGTCACCATTTTTAGTTCTCTCTCCTACTGGAAGATTCTTCTCTATACTTTTAATAGTGTTCCTTTAACTTTCTCACTTTGAAATATCAGTTTCTCTTTCTACCCTTAAGGGATCCTATCTTCATAAATTTAAGAAACAACCTATTGCTTACATTTTCAATTTTTTTATTCCCAGCCTATATCTCATTCATGAATTTTTGCTTTGTAGTAAAAAACTATTTGACCCATTCAGTGTTAGAAGCTAATGGGATTTGCTGTTTTATCCTACACATATAACATGCATTGATCATCCCCCAACACCCTGCTACTCCGATTTCCACTCCCTTCCTCCAGGGCTCTTTCAATTCCATGATGATTTCCGTTTTACTTTCAGGTTGACTTTCTTTCAAAATTTAGTTTCTCCATATAAAAGAGAACAGGTGAGAACTGTCTTTCTGTGCCAGGCTTATTTTTAACATGTTACCTCCAACTCTATTAATTTCTGGGCAAATGATAGGATTTCATTCTTTTTGGCTGGATACTGTTCCACTGTGCATATATATCACACTTACTTTATCCATTCATCTATTCTTGAGTGCCTACTCTGATTCAATTTTAGTTAAATAGTGTCAGAGCAAATATGATAAACATGGTCATGTAGGTATCCCTTTCTTTCTTTCTTTCTTTCTTTTGGTACCAGGAATCAAACTCAGGACCTTGTGCTTGCCAGGCAGGCGTTGCACTGCTTAGCAATATCCCTGGACCCCAGATATCTCTTTGGTAAGCTAACTTCATTTCCTTAGTATGTATTCCTGGAAGTATAATAGCTGGATTACATGGTAGCTTCATTTTTAATTTTCTAACAAAAATCTGTATTATTTTCCACAATGGTTGTACAAATTTACATTCTGACCAACAATGCATAAGGGCTCCTGTTTTCTCTATATGCTCATCAATTTTGTTATTTTTGTGATAACCATTCTAGCTTTGGGTAGAATACGGTAATGCCAGCCAAAATTTACCTCCAGACCCTCTGAGCCAGTGGTTTTGTGGGAGTGGGCAGCCTTCCTTGAGACTCAGCACATCTCTGTGGACGTGGGAGCCGTAGAATCTCAATAGTCTTTCTCTCCTCTGGAATAGGGATGGCAGTAACTGCACACACAATTGCCTTCCATCTCGACACACACACACACAGGAGTGATGACAGCTCTAGTCTTGGAGGGCAGGTGCCCTACTCACTAGGTCTGAAGATGACACTCTCTCCTCATTCCTGCATTGTGAAGCACGCCCCCCTCAGTGTACGTCTGTCCGTAGTGAGTCTGGGTCAAAGTTACCCCACTGAGCCAACTCCGTCTTGTGAAGTAGCGATGGACTGAGACAGTATAGCATAACGTTCTTGGGACCCGAGGAATATGGGTAGGGACAGGCTCCTGACAACTAGAGCAGTCTAAATTTAAACAATAATTCTTTCACCGACATGGCTCCTGGTCACAGAGTCCTGAGGGCTCATTGGGAAATGAGGTTTCTTCTGTTTCCAAAGACAAACTAGAGTTCAGGCCTCATGCCTTTAGGCTGCCAGCCCACAGGGGCCACACAACACCTCAAAAGCTGACTTCTGAACCTGCACTGAGAAAGCCGTCTGGGACTCTTACTCCCGGATGTATCCACAGAGACGAGAGGCTTTATTCCCCAGGATGGGTGGCAGGTGATAGGATGTTTTAGTTTCCTTACGATGCTGCTGCCCCATGTCTACGTTTCTGTTTGTCTGCTGTTGACTACACTGTTGTGCCTGGTTACTCCGATCAACGTGGCGCTAAACGCTGCTCCTTTGGCTGTTTTTCCTGTTTTTCTTTTTTGGCGGGAGGTAGATCTGTGCTGAGGGCCTCTATTCAGGCACCTTGCAGTGAACGTCGAATGTCCACCTCTATTTCTACTTCACCCCTCGCACTTGGATGTCTCATGTAACACTGAATTGTAAAATGTAAATTGATCCTGCTGTACCACTAAGTCTTGGGGACGCAGTGGTTTGTGACGGGGGAGGGAGGAAGAGTTAGTTATCTCAGTGAAGATCCTGCAGGGGTCGCTGCTGTTTATAGTTGTGATTGTTGACTGAGGTTTGTGATCGGATGATCTTCGTTTGTTGGGACTTGTATTGCTCTTGAGCTTACTTGTGGCAATTAGGTGGTTAGAATGATGCCAAGGGTTACATGGAGGATGAGAAGCTCAGAAGCCCTCCGTCGGTGACAACTCCGGTTTACAATTGTTGGAGACAAATGCTGCCCAGCTTATTTTTAACTGCTTTTAAGTTTGGACAGTTTTAAAGCAGTATTAAATTCACAGAAATTGAATGCAAAAGTGAGAGCATTCTCATGCACACTCTGTCCCTACATATACACACTATCAGTCACCAACAGTGTTCAAACTCAGAGTGGCACACTCACGTGCATTATCACCCAAAGTCAAGATTCACTTTCGGGTTGACGTTTAGGGTTGTACATTCTACTGGTTTTGAAAAATGCTTGTTTTCACGATCCCACATTTCACATCTAAGTGTCACAGATTTCTATATCTTTCTGTCCTCTAATAGTACGAAGAATCTGAAGGTTTAGTACCACCTTAACCAGGCATCTCTGGTAACTGGAATAGATTCAACTAATCTGACTTGAACCCATCAATCTGTGATCCACAAAGCAGCCAGAGAGGTTTTATCTTTTAGTTGATTCGCAGTTGTTTCTTATGTCATTCCTTCTCTTTTTCCTCTTGGGAATCCCTACTTACTTTACTGCCCTTGTTACATGCAGTAATCATAGCATCTGTGCACCCACCTCAGGGTCTATACATGTATTGTAGCCTTTACCTACAGATTTTTTTCTTCTATTTTTAGTAAGTATAATCTTTAATGTTATTCAGGTTTCCCTAAATTTTAACTTTAAAAGTGGAGAATCGATGATAATGTATTTCCATTTAGTCCATGAGTGTACTATTTCCTTTGCATTATTGTCACTGTTGTGTTGTATATATGCCTCTATCTTCACATTTGTTTACTAGAATTTAGCACCCAAGAAATAAAAATATGTATTTGCTTTTTAAAGGACCTATCTATAGTACTTGAACACAGTATGCATTTAGAATACTTCAAAATACATACTTTGAAATTACTTATTCAAAATAAGTAATTCTGAATAAATGTTCCGTGAATGACTTGCTGATCTAAATCACAAGATTATTTTATTAAAACTGAGAAATTGAGACAATTTTTTTCTGGAGAAGAAAATGAGCAAGACACTAAAATTTAAAAAAAGAATGGGTACAAGTTTTGAGTGTTTAATTCACAGAAGACATAGAAAAACCGATAACCAAATAATGAATATCAACATTAGCCACCTAATAATACAGATTTTAAACATGATTTGATATCAATCAAACTACTCAGGACACTTAGAAATAAAAAATTAATACCAAATATTAGAAAGAATTTTTTTTTAATTTTAAAGAAAAGAAGAATAAACAATGGTATAAAATTTCAAAATAAGATTGTAGGAGAGTAACAACGGTTAGTACATTGCACATTGTTATCTTCAAAGTAGTTGCTCATATTACAAGATATAGGCATGAAATATTGATCAAGCAATGTAGGCATGAACCTTTACTTAGTAAGAATTTTAGCAATTTAAATTCTCATATAGAGTTGTAAGGCATGTAAACATTGTATAATCATTTGGGAAACTTTTGTGTTTTTTTAGAAGGTTAAACATATGCACAGCTTTTTCTCTCATAAAAATTAATATAAATGCAACACAAGTCCACAGCTCCATACAAAACATTTGTACACAAATACTCATGACATTTTCTTCGTAATTAACATAAATTAGAAAAAAATTTGTCATTAGATGGCTATGCAAACATAAACTATATACATATAATGTAGATATATTCATCAAACAAAAACTAATGCATGAGAGCCATGGCTGTACCTCAAAATCCCCACTTTGAGCAAAAGAAACCACACGCAAAAGGAAGCATATCTCTTCCAAAAGGAAATTCTAAAACAGGAAAATCAAATGTGCCCTGAGAGAAACACATTCTGATTACCTGGGACCAAAAACAAAATAGACTTTCTGCAAGGAATTCACTGGGATATTTCATAGCGATGAAGGTGTTGTGACTTTGGTGATCAATTACAATGAAAAATCTCTGCATTTATCAAATGCTGCAATCCATATACAAAGATAGTGCATTTCATCACGTGTTCATCACACATGTAATTTAGAAAGTAAAAAATATGTACACATATATATTTACTATATAAAATTTTAATGTAATTTTAATAAAACATCTTTATTTTAGAGATACACTCTATTGCATTTTATTGATAAATTTCACCAAATTTTATAAATATAACAGAAGATTTAAAATGATCATTACAAAGAACAATGAATACCTAATAAGACATCAACCTTTGATCTGGTGGCATATTTCACATACTTCCTTACTGGGGCAGTGTAATCCTCAAGGTTATCTCCTTGTTCACCCATCAAACACTCATTCATGTTCAGGTCTAAGCAAAGCCATTCACTTCCCTTTAATATACGTACAGGTATTCTCTGTGGGACTTGATTCATGACCTCAAAGATATATGTACAAGCAACTCAGTCTTTTGGAATAGCTATTTTATTACCAATGTTTTGGAAAATATCCTACATATATTATACATGTTTATATCTCAATTCTCAGAAATTTTTGCTTTTAAGAATAGTAACACATTTTAAAAATGAATTATTCTTATAAGGTTATCTGCTCCTGAAAATACTTTTTGCTCAATTTTTTGCTCAATAAACATTTTGAGCAGCATCGTGAGTGAACCACAGATTCAAACTGAACTGCAAATATTTAAGTAAAATAAACTGGCAAGAATTGTCAGTGACTGTTTCCTAGGATCTCACAATCGCAATTGTGTGGCACTTCACAAAATTATATTTAAAATGAGTGTTTTGTCTATTTGATAAGTAATAGGCATCTATAATTCCACAAATATCAGTTCAGGATGTATTTTGAGGTACATCTTTCACTAAACAGTATAGCCAAAGAAATCAATGGAAAACGTAGATCAGACTCTTTAAATTCAGGTAACACATATTCCTTCAGGAAATTATATGAAAAATTCAAACATAAAATCCCCTCCCTTCCTTACTTCCAATTTTTCATGTTTTTATTAATGTGTCCAGTCTTAAAGATCACCAGATAGATCGCTGACCTCTTTAAAACCTCTAAAACAGCACCCTTTTGCCTGGGGTTCATACACAAACCTAGCTGTGCAAAGGATCACTTTAGGGAGTTTTGTTTAAACTTTTGTTTTGTTTTGTTTTGTTTATAGGTCGCAAAATTGAAGCTATTAGTGGTAAAGCGTGGAGGCGAGACTTACTTCTTCCTGGGATGGTACCGTTCCCCGCTGCGCTCTGGTGCGACCGTCTCAGCACCGCGCTAGGGAGGAGCGGAACCCGGAAAATGTGAACTCACGGGGAAGGTCTTGTGCTGCCTCCTCAGTCTCTCTCCGCCTTTGATTTCACACCACGCACCTCTTTTTCCTGCTCTCTCACTTTAAAGCCTTCTCAGTACAACTGTTTCTCTTCTCGTGAAAAAATTATTATCGTATTTTACTTCTCCAGAAATGATCTCCTTCAGGAAGATTTCCTTGCCTTTTGAAACTGTGCTAAGAATAAATTTGATCTGCTATGTACATAGCTACGTGTGGAACAAAATCCTCATGCCTGGCACCTAAACCTTGTCCACGTGCTTCCAGAAAATTATTCTTCAAGACAGTGAATGTCCTACCCCTTAGTGCAGGAGGAAAGTGACCTGCGATTTCAATTTTTCTCATGCACGTAGGAGCCATTCATTAGCTAAATCTCAATTGTGTTCCAAAAATTTGAATGGAACGGACCTGTATTGTGCCCCAATGTCCCAGCTGCTTACAGCGGAAGAAATTTAATCAAAGAAAGAAAAGAGACTGAAGTTTGCCAAACTAACCCACTGTAGTGGGTTCCAAGGAGGAACAGACAAAATCAACAAAATAAACATTTTGTTGAAAGTTTGCCACTTGAAGGGTCTAAATGGAGTGTAGGACACAGCAAGGGGAGAGCACCAGTCTGCTTTCTTTTCTCCCCACGGTGCTTTCCCTCTGGCAGACAGCAAGATTTCTACTCGTGGAAACGTCCCAACCGCGCTCTGATGGAGGGAACGGGGAGAGTCTGGTCATCCCCGTGCACGTTACCGGGGAAAGCTCTGCGCAGGACACAGAGCGGGAACCCAGAAATGTAAAAGGGGAAAAAAGAAAAAGAAAGAAGGGAAAGGAAAGGAGAAACCAATTAAAAGGAAAGAAAGAAAGACTCAGTGTCAGGCAGGTTAGCTGAAGCCGATGAAACAGATATCACGGCGGTGAGCACAGAGGACTGAGGGAAAACTTTCTTTCTCAGTCATAGCTGTCTGAGTTATAGCACAGAAGCCCTTAGTATTAAGGTTTATTACTGTCTGGATACTGTGTTTCACACTTGCGATCCCAACACTTTTGGAAGCTGGAGCAGGAGAATCACAAATTTCAGGGCAATGTAGCAACCCTGTCTCAAAATTTAGAAATATAAATAAATAAGAAGGGCTAAGAATATAGCTCAGTGTGAAGTTTACATTCCAGTAGTGAAAAATGAGAGAGAGAGAGAGAGAGGTTTTTTGTAAGAGCTAGTGTAATAGTGAAGTTAAATCAGAGAGCATATCATTTAAGCTACTAAGAATTACCTGCATTGTTTGAACACTTGAAAACACACATGGGACCTATAGAAAAGCAAGACATTGGAGTTCTTTTGAGACAAATGTACAAACAATGAGGGATATTTTCTAGAAATGCAACATAACTACGACAGTCTTCTATTCACGTGGGAGGAAAACACAAAACTAATTAAAATGCAAAGTGAAGAATCTATAATAGAGCAGTAAATCCCTCTGGGGACACAGTTGGGAAGCTCTCTTCCTACACGGAGAACACAGACTTTCTGTTGGCTAGAACACGCTCTTAAATTCCACCCTGCACAAAGCTAGTGTTTTGCGGGTCACTCAAAGTCCATTCTTCAGCCCCTCGCTCAATGATAGTTTCATACAGAGAGACAAAACGATGATCAGAAACAGTCAGACGCATGACACTTTTTACTAATTCTATTTTCTAGTTGTCAATTTACATTGAAAAACATGCCTTAGGACTAACATAGGCTGTTAATCATGCTTTAGGGTCAACAAAAGTGGACATGCCCATGGTCCTAAATCAGTGCTCCTAAAGGGACAGTGCATGTATAATCACTTTTGGACATGCTAAAATGAGGGTTTGATTAAATCGGTCTACAGGAGAATTGAGATTCTGTTTTCCAAAGAGCTGACAGTGATGCTGCTTGTCTTACAGCCACACCGAAGCTCTGGACATGTGCCGTGTTTGCAGTGAGCGTGTGTACGTGACTCTGGGAGGGCTGGAGCCGTATCAAAGAATAAAGTTTGTTAAAAGCAAAGCACTGTTAGTTTGCACTTTTGACTTCTGGATTTTATTAAAGCGTCAGAGTATTTCTGAGTTTCAGGTAAATGTATAACTGATGAGAAAGACAAATACAATGTCCACGCTAAGCCATTTCCAATACTGTTTGTGGGGACTGCTACTTCCACATAAGATTTGCTTTTGTCCCAACCATGGCACCAATGGTCTGAAATGGAAAACTCACATTTAATGACATATCTTAAGGAGCAACATAAAGGGAGTGTTTAGTGTTCAGCGACAGGAAACTTTTTCATGCCTTTCTTTATCAAATCGTAGACCCCTCTTCACAGGCAAATCTAGTTCTGGGCTCTTTGGAGAAATGTTTGCTCAATAAGGACAAAAATCTTGTGGTACTGAGAAGAACAGTACATCTCCTGACACTTATGCAGGAGAGAATTTCAGATGCTTTGTCACAATCTGACCGTATAGTCTTGAGGTTTCCAAGCTCTAAGAAGTGTATACATTTCTTTGGTAATTGTCCAAGGAATTGTAACATTTTTTCTGGAAAAATTAAAACATTTTACAAGTTGAGTTTTTTTCTTAATAGGAAAGTCCAGTTCTGGCTTTTAATCTTACAGAGGAAGCATTGACTTCTGTGCAGTATTGAGTAATCTTTCTGATTTTAAGATAGAAGGAAATAAATACGTAGAGCACATCTGAAGAATTATAAGTGTCATGAAATTTTCTAAGCACTGTAATTTTAATAATTAACTCATTTGGACATTATGTTCATTTATTTTGTCAATATTTTCATAACCATTTATTTTAAATATATCTTATAGATGACTGGTATTATACTTCATTTTTAATTAAGGAAATAAAATACAAGCATAAAAATCTTGAATTACTGTGGACTGAACTTGGATTCCTACTATTTGTTCTCAAATTTAAAAATTCTGTTTATATCTAAAGCTCCATGGAAGTCCCATGGCATCATAAGTTGGACTAATGGTTTAGAGTGAATGACAGGATGTATTCTATTTTGGTAATGGCTTGGTCTCCAGATCCTTTGTGATCTGTACACTGAGCTACTTTCCTGGCACATGCTCCAGGGATTACAATATACATAGTATCAGAACAACCTCAGATTGATGATAGCATCCATTCTATCCATACCTCTTGTGCTTTGGTGTTTTATTTTTAGCTTTTATTGGAACATGATTATATTACATAGTAATTACATTCCTTGTGTGGAGTTATTATACACAGATAACATATGTTAATGCCTTTTTCATACCCTTTTCCTCCTTCCCTCCTCCTCCCTATCTCTTGATCCCCTTTCTCATTTGAGAAAGATCTCTCTAATTCCTATTATCTACATTTTATTTTCTTTTTATAATTTAAGCTTGTATCTGAACTATGTCAATTAGCACTATGGTCTCAAGAATCACCAATTTTCCTACAAATGACTCAAGTTTATCTTTCTTTATGGCAGAGTAGTACTCCACTGTGTAAATACCATCTTTCCTTTGTCTATTCATCTGTTAATGGGGACATATAAGCTGCTCCCACAGATTAATTATTATGAGCTGTGCTACAATAAAGATGGATATGCATGTATCACTGTAATAAGATGTCTTTAACGCTTTCCAACAGATACCACGAAGAGGAACGGATGTGTCAGATGGCATTTCTAGTTTTACCTATTTGTTTTGAGGAATCCTTATGTGCTGTCCCTAGTGGCTCTGAGTCTGCCCTCTCCTAGTTTATACCAACAATACAGAAGGGTTGTTTTTCCCCCACCCATAACTGCAACCTCACCAGCATTTTATTATTTGTTCTTAATGTTAATCTTTTCCGGAGTACGGTGTAATCTCAGTGTTGTTTACATTTGCATTTCTCTAATGACTAGTGATACTGAGCACTTCTTCCTGTATTTACTAACAATATCTACTTCTTCTGTGAAGTGTCTATTCAATTTACTTGCTCATTTTTTATTGAGTCTTATCTTTGAGAATCTAATTTTTCTGAGTTCTTTATATATTCTAAAAATTAGTCTATTTTCTACAAAATAGCTAATAGGCTTTTCTCTTATTCTGTAGATTATTTTTTCACTTTCTTTTCTTTCTGCTGCGCATAAGCTTTTTATTTGTTATGATCCCATTTGTTGATTCTCAGTGAACGTGCTGTGCTTTGGTGATAACATTGAGGCATTCATGGATATTGAGTGCTAAAGTCTAAAACATCTCTGGAAGTTTCTACCACTTTGCACTGGTGCGCTGGGGACAGTTTCCAAGGTGTGCACCTTGCTGGGGACAGTTAAACCACTGCACAGTCTCTTGGGCACTGCAGTTCTCTTGCTACTATCAAATACTTTTCTTCTGTTTTACAATGATCTGGCTGGGTGTGAGTATCTTTTTGATTATTACCTGGGAGTTCTTTTAACTTCTTCAACTTACCCCTTAAAGATTTCATCAGTTTTTAGCCATAATTTCTGCAGATACATAGTCTCTTTTCATTTCCTTTTCCCTTATTCTGGAAAACTCAAGAAAGTGTTCAATTAATCTCATGATAATAATAGTCCAGAGAGCCCAGCTGCTATGATCTATTTACCTCCTTTCTATAGCTTCACATTCTTTGTCAGTGTAATTTCAAGTTTATTGATTTCTGGCTGTTCAAATCTACCATTTAGGCATTTCCCACCCCCGCTCCGGTATCGGGAAGCAAACTCACGATCTTGCGCTTGCCAGGCAGACGCTTTGCCGCTGAGCTAAATCCCCAGCCCCCTACTATTTAGGCATATTAATTGAACTTCATATTTCAGGTTATGAACTCTTCTCCTAGGATTTCCATTCTGATCCCTTCTTATAGTCTCTGTCTCTTTATTGATGTTTTGGATTGATGAGTTACTGTTCTCTCTTGCATTTAGTTCCTAACTTCGCTTCCCTTAGTTTTTTTCTTTTTTTTTTTAGCATATTCATCACAATTCTTGGAAATTTTTGTCTGTTAAAGATAGTTGCTATTTGTTGTGAAATTTTTAATATGAGTCATGTTTTGTTGTTCACATGCTTAATACTTTTTTAATTGAAAACTCTTCTTCTTAGATAATACTCTGTGACATTCCTGCATTCTATCCCTCTCTTCCATATACTTGTAGGTGACTGTTATTTTGGCTTGTCTTTCTTTGTGTAGAGACTTACCTGGACTGCACCTGTAGAGTCAGTCCCCTTCACAGTCTTAAACCATTTCTGCTTCTGCTCAGACATTTTTAAGTGTTTGGATTTATTCTTAGGCCTGTTATTTTAGCAGTTATTTTTGTGTCATTATACTATAATGATATCCCAATACAGTTCAGAGTGTATAAGTTACACACATCTGCACTCTTACACAATGAATTCCTTCATATTCATTGGATAATGGTTCAAAGTTCAGACAGTTTACAGTTCTCTCTTTGTTTCCTTTTGGTGTAGACAAAATATGACCTTTACTCAGGGATGACTGGGGAATATGAGCTTTGTACGTGCTCACGTC